TCTCGAGTGACCTGCAGTCTTATGCCCTTGGTCCTTTTACATCAGGAAGACATTTCTTCTTGTTTAGAAGGTGCTGGTCTGCCTCTGCCTCCTCCTGCAAGAGTGACAATGGCAGAAATGGCTTTTGTCTGTGAACAAGGGATTGTTCTTAACCCAGGACTGAAGAAACGAGCTCTGTTTCTCCTCCAGCCAGACTGTGTGAAATACTAGCAGAGTGTCAGGAGGGTATGATGGGCAAGGAGCAATATGGTATCCTGTCTTCTCTTACTCTAACTTACTCACTGGCACACTGACCACAGCAGCTGGTGGTGGTTTTACCATTCAGGAACAATTTCTGTATTTTCTATAATTTCTGTATTTTCCTAAAACTGCCTCTCCCATCATACTCAGCTGGAGTCAGAAGACCAGTTATGACCTGGTCCCACTGGGTAATCGTGGGCAGCAACTATTCAGCCCTCAGTTGTGTCAGCCCCTTTAGCAAAGCATCTCCTGCAAGCTTGGTTCTGAGGAGCTGCTCCCGGGTGTGGGCATGGCAAACAGTGCAAGGGGGGCCAACGATGGGCTAAGAGACAGGGAGGAAGGCAGGCAGGGAGAAAGTTAGGGTCCTGAAGAGAGAATAAAGACAAGGAGGTTGATCAGGAGAAGAATAAAGAGTAGGAAAAATGGACAAGGTTTTTAAAGGTAAAAATGCAAGAAGTGAGAAAAAGGTGTGCACATCGGAGAAGGAGCCGGAGAGCACCGTGGTACTCGATGTGTGATGCTGAGGGAGTCTTCTGAGTTTGGTGGCTTTCTTGGTCTTGGTGTGTGGACTAGGGATCCCCTGGTAGTAGGGTGTGAAAAATTGGTCCATTTAATGCTGATCACTAAACAAGGGAGGGGAAAAAAAAAAAAAAAAAGCTATCTGGCTCTCAATATAAATTTGTTCTTAATAAGTTAATTTACAAAGGAACCTGCTTGTTTGCTCTAAAAACTCTTCAAGGCCTAGCTAGTTCTGAGTTAAAAATTAAGCTGATAGGAAATTTGGAACAAATATTATATTCACTTCTGCTACAAATTCCTGGTGTAGGCATTGCTGGTATAGTTACTGTACTGTATCTCATCACAGGTATAAAAGAGAGGATATGTGCTTTTTTCCTTGAATTAATTCATCAGCAAACTCACATTAACTTAAACCTATAGCTTTCAAACATACCAACTCTGCAGACCAAAGCAAATGTTCATAATTTTGTCACAACAGGCTCCTGTGTTTGCGGCGTATAAAACTTTTCCTTCTCTTCTTTGTACAGCCATATTCCAAAATGTCTGTAGATGACAAAGTACTTCTTAAGGTGTATTTTTATTGCATTGTGTTTTAAGTGAAAGAGGGATCTAACACATTATCAGGAAAAAAAAAATTGCTAAAACAAACTATACACCTTGGATATTTTTGGAAATATTTTGTTACAGACTTGGCCTTTAAACTATGATGATACTGATGATATATTTGGAAATAAAAGCTCATTACATCAGTTCCCACCACAGGAGTAGAGACCACATCCTGTTAAATGTCATATGACTAATTCAGTTTTTACAAGTAACTACTTAATTGCAATTCTTAAATACTTTTCCATGATAGTGTGCAATGCAATAGCTGTTTTTTGGTTAAGCTTGTGGGTTACGTGCATTGTTTTGTGGTTATGCTTATGTTAATTCTGTATTAGGGGATGGGTAAGAGAGAGGGGATGCTTACCTGCTAAGTGGAAAACGGTATTTACTCTCTGATTATTTCTTCTGATTAAGATATCACTTCTGAGTTTCAATCAAAAATAAGAAGTTCAAGCAACTGCAAAGTAGGGAGCAATTATTAGCCTGGGAAGTGAGATAAGCCTGGATTTCCAGTTATGTTCCAACTCTGTTTGTCAGGGTCTGCTTTAATCTCCTAGAGACCCCCCAAATGGTGCAATTAGTGACAGTGCAACCTGAAAACAGTCCTTTTCCAGCCAGACTGGAAGATTGCCTGTATATCTCCCTTCATCCCAAAAGGCCTCTTCTAAAAAATTCCATTTTTCTTTTATAGTCCCATCTCAGGTCACTGAGCTATATGATTGGGAGGGGTATAAGTCTTGCAATTTGAGGGACTTCTTTGAACCTCATTGTATTTTTTAATGCATGCTAATGTGGGAGCCACAGGTGTAGTCAACACATGGTTGCTTTTCCCTTTGCATCTCTTCCCACATGGTTAGAAGTGGAAGGAGAGACAAAGGCTCTTGCTGTGTGAAAGCTATGGCACAGTAGCTAATTTTTCCCTTTTGAGCTTTACCTATGTGATTTTACTTCTGTGTGCATTAACAGCTCTAAGTGATACTTTCGGATAATAAAACACTTAATATGATTTGCTTATACATCATATTGTCCCTTTTTATGTGGTACATAATATAGAACTGTAATATGTAAGTTCAGAGGGATAAAGAAACAGCTAATCATAAATGTATTTGCTGCTATTGAAAACAATCAGAATTTTGGCCTTGGCACAGTTGAAACAGAATAAAATATTGAAAATACTGTGTTAGGTAAGCATTGTCTGGTAGAAATAAGTATGGCAGGGCAAATCCAATCTCAGTTTTCTGACTCTGAAGATTAATGCTTATTTTTTTAAAAATAGATCTTTCTCATGAAAGATTGAACCTTCTTAGATTCTGGTCACTGAATAGAAATTCGGATTGCAAAATTTCTGTTAGTGTATTTTCTGATGACCGCCAAAGTCAGTCTTGAAAGTATACCGAAATTTTGTCAAATATGTTGAGATTACAGAAATTAGTTAATTTTGTGAAGAGTTCAGGGAGGAAATGGTATTTTAGTGTTGGAGCCCACAGAGGTTGCATTATCTGGGGTCGAGAGGGTGGATTTTGGTTTTCCTCTTAACAAGAAGAAATTCACTGAGACCCATCAGAAATTGTTATCTAATAATTAGCCTCAAGAAGCAAGGGTTTACCAGAAGCTTTCCACCCAGTATCACAAGGTTTGTAGTAAAATATCTATCTATCTGTCTGGCAGCACTTCTTAACCATTAGGATCTAACGTTGATGTATACTAGTGTATACTTACCTTTCCACCATTTCCTTTTAAATTGAATGCAGAAAAGTTTATTAGTCACAAGTAACAGTGGCAAACTTAGGGGGAAGTTTCCCGTTGAGTGAAACCCTCATTACATTTAGAATGTGTCTTAATTTTGAATACATTACGACATCATTTGAATATTTTTATAGACTTCCATCTTGAAAAGGAGGTGAAATAAGTGAAAAAGAATACAGCATGGACGCATGGGCACACTACTGGGAGAGGTGAGACCAGGAGATGCCTTTGGTTTTTGTTTTCTCTGTCTCTCCCCACTTCTCAACATAGTAATAAAGTCCTTGAAAGGCCCAATGTGGGATCCACATTTGGGTCTCATAGCTGTAAGGGCCAGAATGGTCTCTAACCAAATGGTCACTAAGAATATCTCTGGGAAGGTAGACTGTGAAAAAGCCAAACCAGGCTTTCCCGTGTCTCCTGGAGCACATGCTAGGACAGCTAAAGCAGGATCTTCTGTGTTGTGAGGAAAGCCTGATCACCACAGACATCTTGGAAGCGACCACCTTGGGGTCTCCTCATTCCTCCTTGAGCTGTTGCACAACTCGAGACGTTGGTTTTACCATATTGGGCAAAGCTGTGGTTTGGTGTGAGCCTCTGAGATGCAGGCTCTGGGTGGACTGGTCACTGTTTTGGCATCCCCAGCGGAGGAATGCGTGTGTGGACAATCAGATCGCTCAGAGGAAGAGGAGAATTTACCGACATCCTTATCCACATTCCAGGGCTTGCCTTTCATCTCCTCATCTGCATCACTGTGCTGCAAGAGAGAGAGGGCGTAATTAATGTTCCACCACTTGCAGGGACAAGGCTCGAGGGGCTCCTGCTGCTTGCATCCCTTGCATGTGCTGTGAATTCCTCTGAGGTCGGGTATACGAGGTACCTGCACGGCCACAACGAAGCAGATACTACAGCGAAGGAACATTTCAGCGGTTTGGTACTCGGGCTAAAGTCCTGGGGTGGTTTTTCTCTCCAGTATTCAAGAATATGCATTCATGATATGTGGCCTGTCCATTCTAGTGGAATACATATGACAAAAGACAAATGCATTAGATCATCAACAGTCACTGACATCTCAGCAGCAAGATGTTGATTTATATCACCTAAGGAAAGAACCTAAGATTTTTTTTTTTTTCTGTTTCTTGGGGGAGAGGGGAGAGATGTTTAATCAAACTTGGAAAATTCCCTTGCTTGACAACAGTAAGTCTAATCAGATGATAGTATTCATGTCAAAGCTGTTAATGTGGTGTCTTATAATTCTATTTGTTTAAAAGAGACTGCTTGACTTGTAAGCAGATGCTTACAATTACACTTTTATGGAGTGTTCTTTTTTAAATATAGGGGACTCATCATTCATTTGTTTCTCAAGAGCAATGATGCTTTATCATGTTCATTAAGTACTGTGTTCAGTGCATCTGGTTCCTTTATATCCCATTTTAAGAATTACATGTTGATCAAGCTGTCTGTGTATGTGTGTACATATGTGCTATGTAGATAACTGACCTAATTATACAGATAAAATTTATATTCTTGAAAGTGGTTATTTTGATAATTGCAGGTATTAAGAATTGGATACATTAGTCATTTAAAGTTCAAACAGCTTATACAGTGGCTTTTTAAAATCAGCTTTTATTTGTTCTAAAAATATAAATAAGTCATAAATATAATCTCAAATATTTTAAACACATAAGTTACACAATTTTTCTGGCTTCTGAAAATACTCTGTTGTTGAATACATATTAAATAAGTTGATATTCTGAATAGTACCATTAGAAATGAAATAAAATATGACCTTTGTTTAAATTATTTCTAAATATTGAAAATATAAATAGGAAATATTAGAAACTAATAAATATTTTAAATACAATAAATAGGTTCCTAGAAGGAAATGACAATGTCTATAAATGCAAACCATTGTTACTCTCTTTGGTTCTTAAAACAGAACAACACTGTCATCTGCCACATGACAGATTTGTAACAAAGGATTGTGCCTGAATTAAAACATTCAGACACTGAAACTCCTGGTGTTTTTCAAATAGCGAATGGCCCTCACAGTTTTCTCCATAAATGAAGTAAAGTCTCGGAGGATGAGGTGGGTAGTGATTTTCTCTATCCAGTTCTTATTGGACTTCAGCTTTGCACGAAGGGTTTTCTGGGTGGCTGAGTCTGGGATGGTCACTTCCTCGGGATTGATCACCTGTGAAAAAGACAGTATCGGGGTACCCCGGTTAAAACACTGTAATTGAGCTTGTCGGAGAGCATCAGTTTTTATGTATATGATGTTCCCAACCAGCTGCCTATCCACCCTTTCTGTACTGTGGACGACAGAGCTCCCTGGGACCTGTGCTTCCCGACAGCTCCGCTTCTGCGGTGGCGTGTGAGGTTCGTGGATGCCCGCCGCGATTACTGCGGAAGACTCAGGGGGTCTCGTCTGATCCACACTGTTCGTTCCGGTGCGAATGCAACGTCTGGCCTGGCAGTCCAACACGCTGCACTGAGCACATCGACACACCTCTCCTGCTGTCTGCCGAGCACGCCCTTAGTTGGGAAGATGCTGACTGTGGTTTGTCCTAACCTGTACCGGCTGCTGCGTCCTGAGCTGTAAGTTGATTACATTACATTGGAGTGCTCTCACATTTTGTAGTGGTTTAACAGTTTCCCAAGATGACAAACTTTTCTATCTGCTTAATTCTTACTTTCCAGCATTTAGGCATACAGGAGACTAAGGGTCACCAACTTGCACTGGTGTGTAGGATCCTAGTTGCAAGATGAGTAAAAAGAGTTATGTACCTAATGCTGACGGACAGCGGTGGGCACCCGGTGCCCAAATGCCTTTTAAGAACTTGTCCTGTGAAGTGGGTAGGTGACTTCTGAAAACAGGAGTTACTTGCCCAAATCACAAAGCTGGTTTAGGTGATTTGGGGTCTAGAAGTCTAACAATAAAGTGTCTGCTCCATCCTGGTTTTAGGATCTCTTCTACCCTTGAACAAGTGACAAAAGCTTGTGCATCTCCTTCTGGAACATCTTTTTTTTTGTGAAATTCAGTAAGATATGAATATTCTTTCTGTCCAAACTACTTGGAAGTGGTTTCTGATCACGCACCCAGTTACTGGTATATCCAGCTCCCCACTGCATGCTGTGAGAGTTTGTATCTGGATATCCAGACAGGTATTGTGCCGATGGATCTATCTGACCACAAGTGACAGGTTCTGTTCTTGCTCTCCTTGCCTTAAATAGCAGATAGACTTTTCTCATAAAGAAAAACTTCCAACCCAGAGATCAAGACTACTCTCTTCCTCAAAAACTGTGCGGTTTCTGTAAGTACAGGTTTTGCTTTTGATCACTGTGTTTAATTCTGCCTGTTCCGATTACCTCAATCCTACTAATTTTTTAAAAAATGCTAATCCCCCACAGTTATGACATGAACTTTCTGCAAAGTAACTTATCAAGTTGGAAGCCAGAAGTCAGTTGCTGTCTTATGACAGGACTATTATTCTTAGCTAGCACAGTGTGACAAAAGCAGTTCAGCTCCCTTTCACTTAAAAGAATGATGGACATAAATAAATATGTTAGGAAAGGTATGGCACACACACAATGGGCCTTTCAGACACCGAAAAACACCTTGAGGGAAATAATGCCCTGAGATTTCTGCAGTCCTTCCTCACCTGGGTGGTTCTTACTTGGGCAACTAGTTCCCTGATGACAAAGGAAGTATTCATGTTAAGGGTTATTGATGTGAGTAAGAACTGCAAGAATGAAGTGAATTTCTGGAGTGTGATCTTTCAAAGCTCTCCAAAACATAGAAAACGACTGTCAGAAATCAGTAGCATTTAGTTTACCAAATCAAAAGAGAATTGGGTATTTGTAAAGAAGGAAGACTTTTTTTTTTTAACCCACGATGATTACAAGCAAAATGTGTGCTTTTTGATAGGTAGCACCTTTTATTTAGTCAAGTTAGTATTTTCTGAATTTAACTCTCTTCCTTGATTTTTTTTTTTTTTTTTTAGAGTTACTGCTATCTCAATATACCATACAGCTTGGCTTGAAAGTTTGGTTTGGAGAGCTTTAAAGATTAATAATACTGTAAAAATATATTTGCTTTTATTTATATATTTTTTTTAAAAGTTACTTATTTCTACAATTTAGGGGGTTGCAACATTAGAAGGCTTGGACTGAACTGCTGTTCTACAATTAGGAACAAGCTCCCTGAGAAATCTCATTTCTTATTAGCCAGGCACTGTTAGTATATTTGTTCTTAAAACAATGATGCATTTAATTGTTCACTTGGAAATTAGAAACAACAATAGAAAGTGGGAAGAAGAGTTGTTTCTTTAAGAAAAGAAAACAAAACCTTGTAAAGTGTGTTAGTCAGGAGTAAGTGTGAGTATCTGAGCATAAGGAACCATCACCTGTTTCCTCTGAGAGAAGGTGAAGTGCCAAATGTTCAGCTTCAGATTGCATCCTATTTCTCTGGCTACACCTCAGTGCTAAGCTGTAACAATTATCGGAGTGAACTTAAAACCAACTCACCATCTGTCTTATGGTACGTGCCAGGTGCTCTGTACTATAGCACAGCGATTCAACATTTTGCTTTTCACTCGTAAAAGTTTCTTGTATGTATTCAAGGTATGTCTGAAATGTATAAAGGCCACTGGAGATTTTCTTCAAGCACTTATCCTGAAATGAGAGAAAGGTGAGCCAGTCACTTAACAGCTCAGTAAACGCCTCGATCGCGGTATGGCAGGTAAGCGCGTGATGCTTATACAGCGAGTGGAGGTCTGTGCCATGCCGAAGGCAGCAGGAGCCGGCACAAATCTTTTAGGTCAGCTGCCACACTTTTTTTTGGAGCAGGTATCAGGGGTTAGACCAGAAAGGAGAGCGGTTCCTTGCCTCATCGAAGCCGGCGAGCAGACACCCGTCTTCCTCCGTCACCTGGGGGAGGTTGAGGTTGTTCTGGACGAGCATTTCCACGCTGTTGGCACAGATGGTGAACTTCTCGCACATCTGGGGGGAGAAGACACCGAGAGGTTCGGTCGCACCGTGGCCGGAGGCAGCCGGGGTGCGAGTGTGGGTGCCCGTGGGGTGTCCGTGTGCGAGCCCCCCCCCCACTCCCACACACCGCCCCCCCCCCGTCCCGCCCCGTTACCCACCTCCTCCTGCAGCTGGGCCGCCCGGGCGTGCAGCCCCCGGGCCAGCCGCACGCAGTCGGGCAGCGCTGCCCGCCGCCCCGCCGCCTCCTCCAGCTCGGCCTCCCCCGAGGAGTCGGCGGCGGGCAGCGGGGCGGCGGCGGCCCGCGGGAGCAGCAGCAGCAGCAGCAGCAGCGGCGGCGGCGGCGGCAGCGGCAGGGCGGCGCGGAGGGCGGGAAGCCGGCGGCCGGCGGGGACGCGGTGGCGGTCGCAGCCCTGAGGGGACTTCATGGTGCGGCTCCTCGGCTCCGGCCCCGGCCCCTTCTCGTCGGCGAGGCTGGCGGGTTGAATGAGCTCCGGGCATCCCTGAACGTGTATTTATCGAGGGGGCTTCGAGATTATTCATGGCCCGGGAAAATCCAGCATGAGAACACGGAGGAGGAGGAAGGGGGGGGGGGTTGTGTGGGGTGTGTGTGGCGGAGCGCGGCGAGCTTGACACAGCACTCGCCCCGGCTCAGCGCGGCGGGATTGTGAAATGGGACCGGGGGGGGCCAGCCGAGAGCGGCATGAAGTCATCGCGCTCCCGCTCCGTAACTCCTTGAGGGCCGGGCTACACACCCCCCCCCACCCCCCCCGCCGCCGCCTCACCTGGGGCCGCGGCCGGTCCCGCTGCCGGCAGCCTCCGAGCTGCCAGCTCCCGCCGCACAGGCAGTCTCTCAAATCATACCTACCTGCGGCCATAAACCGACTTTATATATTTTAATAAATCAATGTCTGTTTAACGCCTGTTGTGTATGTTTTTCTCTAGCTCTTTTCATTTTTCATATATGTAACACTAAATGCACGTGTTTAGTGTGCTGGGTATGCATGAGTTGTAGGTTGCCTCTCCCTGTGAGGTACGTATGGGCAGGATGATATACATCACATTCATACACTTTAAATGCACGGGGAATGGACCACAGCTCCAAAGGGAAGGGGGCCCAGGAAATGCCACGCAGTTCTCTCTTATCTGTCACCTTATCTCTTTCTGCCTACCTGGGAGGTGCGGTGGGAATTTTAACCTTTCACAGGGGACTCTTCAACCAGGGCAAGTGAGCCCAGTTGGCTCAATCTTGTAGAGTGTGGACTGAATCAAACAGTGCAAGGCATGATGACATTGGACTTTTGGAATGACTTGAACTGAATTTGCCCAAACTGACTTTTTTTTTTTTTTTTTTTTTTTTTAATTAGTGCAATATTTTCTCATGTAAGGAGGATCAGAGAAAGACCTAATTCTTCTGGAGATGCTAACAGGAGGGTGCAGAGTGGGGAGAACAAATCATGGGGCATAAGAGAGATAATTGAGAGAGATGATACAGTGACTGAACTTGAGTGTCCTCATTTGGCCTCCCCCTTCTAAAAAAAAAACCCAGGTGCTGCTAATTCATTTTCTAAGAACAGCCTGGACAGAGAGCCTCAGGAAAGAAGCAGGGTACTACTGTGTTTTTTATTTAATGTCCTGTTCTGCCAGTAGCAGAAAGGCAGCTGCAGTAATTTTGCCCAGTGGAGAGATATTAGTGCTGAAATGCGAGTGTGAGAGAGTGATTTCCGACAGCAGCAATCTGTCTCTGCCCCGTTCCCCGAGCGTGGCATAGGGGAGCTGTAGCAATAATCTTCTGGAAAGTTAGCTCTCGCTTACCAGGTCTGTGGCGTTAGACATAAGAGTAGAGCATACCCCTGATGGCATGTTTGACTAGTATCAAACTAGAGACCTGACTGCAAGGTGCCAAGTATTAAAACAGCCAGATCAGGTGAGCTCAATGCTTCTGACAAGCCCAGTCTTTCTCTGATAACCATCAGGGGCTGATACAGCAGACAGGAGCTCCTGCCTTCCTCTCTTTCCATTTGTTACAGCACATGGACGTACCTGTCTGGGAGGGGGGTTTCCTTCCTCTGCCAGGTGGCTCATAGTGTGTTCCCTGCAGACAGCCAAACTTTTCCTTTAGCTAACCCAAGTGAAAATACTGACTATTCCTAAAATGACCAAAACTTGGTAGGAGGTTACATTTCCTTAATAATATTTTTTAAGCAGGGATTCTCTAAGTTAGTCTTGTTTGTAGCTCTATAATTTTTAATTTTGTAACCTTATTTTATGAGTTGTCCTTTTCTCCTTGTGTCATGAAAAAGTCTGTTCTTCGGCAATTTCCAGAGAACTTTTTGTGCTGATCACTGTTATGTGGGATCAGTCTTGATGATGTGTGTAGTTATAGGTTCAGAGTGAAATAAAAGCAAATTTCAACCGTCGTTCCTCACCTAGAAGTCTCTAAGCCTTCAGTTATTATTGTCTCCTTTTGCATTTTGTGGTTTTGTTTACTCTCTTATATGATTGTCTGTTTGACTTTTCAGAAGTACAGAGTATACTTAAGTGCTGCCATGAAAGTTACTTATTAATGCCTTAGAAACTTGTTTTGATAATCTAGGACAATTTGTAGCATTCAAGGGAAGGAAGAACTGGAATTTACACTATAGCATTAAAATACTTCTGCTCTTAGTCTGGATAGTCTCATATGGAAAACCACTTTTTAAATTGGTACTGCATATAAAAGAAATACTGTGCACTGATCTGTCTGTAATAATGGTTAAAGTTTGGGGAGGTCTTAAAGTGGGTTAATTAATCCACACTGCTACACTGCATTACACTGATTCATCAGTAACCACGTTGTTCAAAATGTAGTAAGCTCTGAACAAACAGCACTTGCTCGTGAGTTAGCTACAGGTCACGAGATTTGCCCGTTGGTACTTTAAAATGTGTAAGTAGTATTACTGAGACTCTAAGGTATAATTTCTAGATACAGAGGAATTTCTTTCCCACGTGGCATCTTTGTGATACTGAAGACTCCTGTTCTTGTATCCTTTTATTGCTATGAATCTTCATTTCACTGTACAGGTTCTGTTTTTCTTGTCATTTATACTATAAACCAGATGGCTGAATCCTGACATAAAAAACCTTCTGAAAGTGGGTTTTCAGAAATTCTCAGTGTTTATCCAGCTTTTTCTTCTGTCTGAGAAGTGAGCTCTACTACTGTACGTTTCTATGGGAGCAAGAGGGGTGGGTTCTGCAAGTTGTAAAAAATCTCTCCTCTCAGATTGTCTATGCATGAAAATTACTCGCAGTTACAGTTGAGGGTGAGTTTATAGACAGGGAGCCAATCCAGGATCATCCCATGTGTCAAACTCTGTTTTCTAGGATCAGTATGGCAACTCACAGACACATTCCAGAACAGGTTCTGTTTCTTCTGGAATTGCTCTGCCTGGGATCAAGCCTGTGCCACTTTTGGTCCTGACAACCTGGAAGATTTGCAGACAGGAGGCTGTTTTCAGGAAAGGTGGGTGACATCACTGTGGAAATGCTACTGCCCCTGGAGAATTCAACGAACTGCAGAGCTGTCGTGGTCAAAGCTTGTCAGCCGTCGGGCACATGTCTGCAAGGAGCCCCACCATGGGCCGAGGTAGAACCCAGTGCTATCGTCAGCAGCAGGAGACTTTGCTTGCTGAATGCTCTGAGTCAACTAAATGGCCATATAAATGGCATTCCTAGATGGAAAAATAAGGTCTTTTAACAAAGTAGAAGAATTACTAGGGCTGCAGCATATTCCACTTTGGTTTATTTGTGTGCTTGGTTTGACTGTTTTTTTTTTTCTTTCTAATAATCTCTGCTATTCTACAGTAATAATAGAACCATTAATTTTTATTTGGAGATTATGACTTCAGATTGTACTGTTGATAATAAGAGAAGGAATACAGCTGAAGCTGTGCTGTTCTTCTGTCAAAGTATTAGTTTGTGTGTGGAAGAAAATGCCAATTGTTGGTAGACTGTTCAAGTGGGATCATGCCAATGACTAAACAAATAACTTCTAAATGTCCTGAATGAGGCGGAAGGCTGATGTCCAGTTCCCCTGACATATTTTTGGTTGAATCTCTCAAAGCGTGGAATAAGGGATCTTGACTTCCTACAGATCTTGTAAAAAGTGGAGGTGAGTTCTTTGTAGTCCATCAAGATGTGAACACTTCACCCATTCTAGGGCTTATTTCTCTTAATGACCTTTATATTGAGTATTCACTGACATTGCAGGGTCTCTAAATGCTCATGTGCCTCTCGTTTACATTTTCTGGAGTTTTCATGGTACAGAACATCAGTAGTACCATCTTCAACAGCCTCCATAAAAATCCCAAGCTTCAAAAAATGGAATGTTTTTTTTGCTCCTGCATTTTCAAATAAATGGTCACCACTTGCTCTGCTAAGAGCTTGAATGTGTGAGTGTTAAACCAACCTGCCCTGTGCTGTATTTGAATGGAACAGGTTGGACAGGTTATTAATATCCTGTGTTTATGTTTCTCATAAGCAAACATTGCTTTGAGAAGCTGCATGTCACCAAAGAGTGCTGGTGCACTTGTTTAACGGCCCTTTGCTTTTGCAGCTTTGCAAGTTCTTTAGTTCTGTGTTGGTTGTTTGCCAAGGAACTGCAGAGTTGTCTGGGGATTTTTTGGTGAAAAGCTCTGGGGATTGCTCATTTTTTCCTAAAGGCAGACTTGCATCATTTTTAAACAAGACTAGGATGTGTAGTAATAGACTTAAATTTTTTTTCTTGAGTGTACCATATGAAAACACCATGATTTTCCATGCCTTAAGCTAAATCAGAGGTTTAGAGGAAAAATTCTTAGTTAACTTTAAATTTTGTCCTGATTTGCAGCTTTATCTACTTAATCTTGAGAAGCGAAATCATGCCATGGTCTTCTCCAGTCAACTTCGAGGCTGGCAGGTATGCAGTCCTACATGAAAGACGTCCTGGAGATAACTGTTCTTGGGGAATATCTGAATGCCACCCGTCACTTTAAATAGACACATCTTCTTCAAATCAAATGCTTGCAGGCATTTTAACTCTGGAATGGGAATATTGCAACACTTGCCAGTGAACCTAGATTTGCACTAGGAGCGCTTTGCTGCTGTGGCTGCACTGATAAATGACGTC